GTCATTGGTTCACTCACGCTCTCGGCGGTGGTTTTCTTCTCTCTGTAACTGACTTACTGATTCATTCATTGGTTCATTCACTCACGCTCTCTGCAGTGGTTTTTTCGGTCTGTAACTGACTTACTGATTCATTCATTGGTTCATTGGTTCATTCACTCAAGCTCTCGGCGGTGGTTTTCTTCTCTCTGTAACTGACTTACTGATTCATTCATTGGTTCATTCACTCACGCTCTCGGCGGTGGTTTTCTTCTCTCTGTAACTGACTTACTGATTTATTCATTGGTTCATTCACTCACGCTCTCGGCGGTGGTTTTCTTCTGTCTGTAACTGACTTACTGATTCATTCATTGAGTCATTGGTTCACTCACGCTCTCGGCGGTGGTTTTCTTCGGTCTGTAACGGACTCACTGATTCATTCATTGGTTCATTCACTCATGCTCTCTGCAGTGGTTTTCTTCTGTCTGTAACTGATTCACTGATTTATTCATTGATTCACTCACGCTCTCAGCGGTGGTTTTCTTCTGTCTGTAACTGACTCACTGATTCATTATTTGATTCACTCACGCTTTTGGTGGTGGTTTTCTTCTGTCTGTAACTGACTCACTGATTCATTCATTGGTTCATTCACTCACAATCTCGGCGGTGGTTTTCTTCTGTCTGTAACTGACTCACTGATTCATTCATTGATTCACTCACACTCTCGGCGGTGGTTTTCTTCAGTCTGTAACTGACTCACTGATTCATTCATTGACTCACTCACGCTCTCTGCGGTGGTTTTCTTCTGACTGTAACTGACTCACTGATTCATTCATTGAGTCATTGATTCACTCACGCTCTCGGCGGTGGTTTTCTTCTGTCTGTAACTGACTTACTGATTCATTCATTGGTTCATTGGTTCATTCACTCAAGCTCTCGGCGGTGGTTTTCTTCTCTCTGTAACTGACTTACTGATTCATTCATTGGTTCATTCACTCAAGCTATCTGCGGTGGTTTTCTTCTGTCTGTAACTGACTCACTGATTCATTCACTGATTCACTCACGCTCTCGGCGGTGGTTTTCTTCTCTCTGTAACTGACTTACTGATTCATTCATTGAGTCATTGGTTCACTCACGCTCTCGGCGGTGGTTTTCTTTCACTCACGCTCTCGGCAGTGGATTTCTTCTGTATGTATCTGACTCACTGATTCATTCACTGATTCACTCACGCTCTCGGCGGTGGTTTTCTTCTGTCTGTAACTGACTCACTGATTCATTCACTGATTCACTCACGCTCTCTGCGGTGGTTTTCTTCTGTCTGTATCTGACTCACTGATTCATTCATTGATTCACTCATGCTCTCGGTGGTGGTTTTCTTCAGTCTGTATCTGACTCACTGATTCATTAATTGAGTCATTGATTTACTCACGCTCTCGGCAGTGGATTTCTTCTGTATGTATCTGACTCACTGATTCATTCACTGATTCACTCACACTCTCGGCGGTGGTTTTCTTCTGTATGTAACTGACTTACTGATTCATTCATTGATTCACTCACGCTCTCGGTGGTGGTTTTCTTCAGTCTGTATCTGCGCAGCTCCTCCTCCAGCTTCAGTAACTGGTTTCGCAGGTCGTTCTTCTCTTCCGTCAGTCGGCTGACGAATCCCGTGAGCTCTGCGTTCTGCCTGAGCAAACGCTCGTTCAGCAGACTGGATGATCCTCCTGCCAACAGAGCGGCGCTCTACACACACACACACACACACATTTATATAATCAAGCATGTATTTATAAAGGTCCATTACATGAATAAGCCACATTCTGTGTCAATGTGCTCACTCACCTCCGGGAGAGCAGAGGGGGCTGATGGGATATGCTGTAACAGTGACATCACATCCTGTACATTACTGTGCAGCCATGCTAGACTGTCCCGATCCGGCGCTTCCCCAGATAACCTGCACACACACACACACACACACCGCTCACATGCTGCAACACCTGCACAACTGACTTTTTTCTTCAGTAAAACCATAAAGAAGATTTTTTGCTGAAACCTGTATCGTCAGGAGTCACGGGTATTGATTTTGTGTTGCCTGATGCTTTTTTTTGACTCTCAAAGTGTCGGTAGCCGTTGCCTTGCATTCTATGAATCACCAACGACCACAGTCTGAGCTAAAAATCGTTACTGTTCTACTGAAGAAAAAAAAAGCCACCTACATCTCGGATGGACTGAGGGTGAGTGAATTAACAGCAAGTTGTGTTTTTTTAGGTTTTTGGGGGAACTCTCTCTTGTCATACCTGCCCGGGGTTTTGCTGGTCAGGCTGTTGATCTTGGCGGCGATGAGCTGCAGTCTGCTGAGGATGATGTTGTCCACGTGTTTTGGGTCTGAACTCTTACGCAGGGACGTTGTGCTGGACTCCAGAGTCAGAGCGTCTCCCGTCTGCAACACCCAGTCACGGGTTCGATCCTGCGGCCGGGCGTCCAATCTCACGCTCTTGTTCTCCAGCGCTCTCAGTCTGTCCTCCAGCTGTCTCACGGTCTCCTGCAGTCTGTCTCTCTCTCTCTCCAGCCTCCTCACGCTGTCTCTCTCCGCATCCAGCTCCGCCCGCAGCTCGGACGCCCGTCTCTCCAGGCTGCTCAGGCTGTCGCGTGCCGTCTGCAATGCATTCTGGTCCTGCGTGAGGGCAGATTTCTCCTCGTCCCACTGTCGTTTGCACTGCACTGCCTCCAGCTTCTGTCTCTCCAGTTCCTCCATCATCTGCACCACCTGCGTCTGCTTCTCGGCCAGCTGCGTCTGCAGCGTCTGCAGGAGAGACTCCACAGAGAGAACCCCGGCCTCCACCTAAACACAGCAACATTATTTAATATTAATGGCAATTTTATAATTAAAATGATACATTTTACTAAATTATATCATTTTACTAAAAACATTTAAATTTTATTTTAAATATTTTATATATTATTTATATTTTATATTTAAAACTTAAGAATTTTTTTTGCTTAAAATGTGTAGGCAAGTCAAGTTTATTAATAAAGCACATTTTATACACAATGGTAATTCAAAGTGCTTTACATAAAAAGGATTTTAAAATCAAAAGAAAAAAACAAAAGTAAAAAAAAAACAAAAAAAAAACTAAACGGATTTAGATATAAATTTAGAATGCATGAAGACATAAAGTGTAATAATCTGAATGTTAAAGCTGCAAATGTGCTTTTTGTTTTTGGAAAGGTGAACATAAAATGTCCCAGACAGATATCAAAATCAAAACGTTTATGAAAAACCACCAAAACAATTATTTAAATATAAAATATTATCTACTTATTGTATATTTTAACATCTAATATTAAAATCATATATAATAATTATATGATTTCTATTACTCATTTATATAAATATAAATCATATATATGTACCCTATTATAATATAGGGTGAGGTATAATGCGTATTATAATACATAATTATGATATCATAATATATATTACAAATATGACATTAGTCAACATTTGAAGTGGATCAAAACCTTTCATCAAAGTTGTCCTAAAATCAAAACAATACCCGTTCTTGTCTTAGGACAACTTTGATGAACCTTTTTGATCCACTTCAAATGTTGACTACTGTATATATAATCTTATATATTACACAAATTATATTATAAATAATATTATAAATGTCATTTCTAAATTAAATACATATGTATATTTAAATATGTATATAATAAACTGCTTTTTAAAATATTGTGCAGGTCAGGCATAAATTTATCCGTCAGGATTTCACAGGACTGGCCATGATATTATAATATTATTTTTCATAATATTTTTTATAATAATTTATTTATTTTTTTTTCACTTGGCCTTGGTTACAAGAGGTTAAAAATGTTTCAAAGGTGGAGAAAATGATTGCATTTCTATGCCAATTTTTAAGACAAAAAATATTGTAATTTTAACATGCACTGATGAAGTAGGGAGTTTTATTGAGCGAGTGAACAGGTGTGATTCTGGTCACCTGGCTGCAGGTGGCCTCTGTCTGCATGAGAGTGTTTTGTATGTCAGACTCCTGCGGGTTTGACGTGGAGCTCGTCTGGAAGCGCTGCAGCAGCTGTGCGTTCAGCTCCTTCTGTTTCTCCAGAGCGCTGCTGAGCTCTGCCGATCGAGCTCTCTGAGCGTCTAACTGAACCTGTACACACACACACACACACACACGCAAACACACACATGCAAACGCAAACACACACACAAACACACACGCACACGCAAACACACAAGCACACAAACGCGCACACGCAAACGCGCACACACGCACACACGCAAACACACACACACACGCAAACACGCAAACACACACACACAAACAAACACACAAACACACACAGGGCTCAATCTCCTGCTCGGACACAGTGAAACACACTCAGAGCGTTAGATGACACGCACCTGCAGCTCTGCAGAGACGCTGGCCTCCCGCGCCTGCTCCTCCAGAGCCAGTTTAAGCTCCTGCAGAGACGCATAATGATGCACATAATCGAACACTTGATGTAAAACACTCATTACATGTTACTTCAGTGACGGTTTTTACCTCCACTTCCTCTCTCTCGGTCTCCTCCTTCCTGTCAGACTTGCGTTTCTCCTTCTCGAAGGCCCACTGCAGCTCTCTGGCTCTCTTCTGCTCGAGTGCCAGTCTGTCGTTCAATGCATCGACTTCAGCGGCCTTCAGTGAGACCTCGGCCCTGCACAGCACACACAGCAGCTTTACTCACTCCTCTACGTGTCTTTGGAGCCCCTACAGTTAAGCGAGTGGTAATTATATCACTGTCATAATTATAGTAAATAGCTGTGTGTGTGCATTTGAAACAGAAGTCAGTGTACCATCAGAATGACTCTGAAACTGATATTACGGTACAAAACTTTCATACAGTTGCTTTAAATTGCCTCCAACTCTATTAGCAAGACTAGCTAATTAAATCAGCGCAAAAAGTCGAATAATCTGAATATTAAAGCAAATGCAAATGCTTTTCGAACATAAAATGTCAGATATCAAAAACACTTACAAACCCTCATGAACATACAAAAACATTTTTATGAAAATATACAGATTTATTTCTATTTATACATATTTATTTATTTATAATGTATATTATAAAAATAATATAAATTTAGACATACTATATGATATGTATATGTAATACATATATGTTACAAATATAAATTACATTATTTATGTGCAATAATAAATGTAATACATAACATAACATATTATTATATTAAATAAATATTTATAATATTTTACTCACACATTACAATGATGATACAAATATACAAAAACATTTTTATGCAAATTAAGAATTAAAGACAATTATTTATATAATTTGTATATTGTATTATATATATTGTCATATGTATTACATATTTTAGTTATATATAAATGTTAGTTATATTATTTATATATAACTTTACTCATTTATATAAATATATATCACAGACTACTATAACTGATTATGTGTGCATATATAATTTACATATATTATTACTGACTATATTATTCACAACTATATTATTCGCCAACAATACATTGTATGGGTCAAAATTATTAATTTTTCTTTTATGCCAAAAATCATTAGGATATTAAGTAAAGATCATGTTCCATGAAGATATTTTGTTCATTTCCTACTGTAAATATATCAGAACTTAATTATTGATTAGTAATATGCATTGCTAAGAACTTAATTTGAACAACTTTAAAGATGATTTTCTCAATATTTAGATTTTTTTGCACCCTCAGATTCCAGATTTACAAATATTGTTCTATCCTAACAAACCATACATCAATGGAAAGCTCATTTATTCAGCTTTCAGATGATGTATAAATCTCAATTTCACAAAATTGACCCTTATGACTGGTTTCGTGCTCCAGGGTCACATATATATACTGTATATATCAATAAAAGCCGTGCGTGTGTCACCTGAGTGCGTCGAGCTCTTTCAGGTGTTTGTGTTGTGATTTCAGAGCGCTCTCCAGCTCTAGTTTAGCCTGGTTCAGTCGATCAGAGCCGCATCCCACCGCAGCACCGCCTGGCATCTGCTCGGCCTCGCTCTCGCTCTCCATTCCTGAAGAACAGAAAGCGTTATGCAGTGGAAGCTGAAGCTGGCAGCGTGAACAGTGAGGAGTGCGTGTCATACCGGCGGCGTCCTGATGGTGGCGCTGTGTGAGCTGAGCTCTGAGCTGCTGGATCTCTGAGCGCAGGCTGCTTCTGTCTGTGGCGCACAGCGCTCCCATGAGCTCCCTGTGCCTCGCGTCCTGAACACAACCAGCAGCACAGACGTTACAGTCTGAACATCTAACATCAACACTAGAGTGTGCCGTATGCTAACCTGCTCCGCTAGCGCTCTCTCCAGCTGGCTGAGATGAATGACAGCGTCAGCCGTGTCCAGTCGCTCCAGATGAGAGTATAAGACGTTCTTCAGCACGTCTCGCTCCTGAACAAACACCTGCTGAACAGCCGACAGCAGCTCCGCTCTCCAGTCGCCATCCACCTACAGACACAGAGAACACCTCAACGTCTGAACTAGCACAATACACAAACATAAACCAGTTCATCAATATACAAAGAAATAAATAAAAAATAAATGAAAGAATAAAGACAGAAAATAATTCATAAATGAATTTTGGACTAAATATTATTAAAAAAATTGTATTTCTTTAATTACGTCATCTATTGTATGTTTCATGAAAATATACAATGTCAACACTGTCAGTTGAATGCAAAATTAATATGAATGAATGATTTTAAAATAAAATACAAAAATTAATTAAATCATGAAATGTGAAATTAAAATAGATTTAAAATAAAAAATGAAATAAAGGACTTAAAACTTAATTAGATCAATGTAAATTTAAAAAAAATATTTTAAAATGAAACAAATAAAAAACACTTAATAAAAATAGGCATGTGAAATTAAAATGATCAAAATAAAAACGCACACTAAAATGAATTAAATCTTAAAAATGTTAATTAAAATAAATAAATACGGTTAAAAACGAAAATAAAAAAATTAATAAAATAATAATGCAACATTAAAATACATACAGGATTTTAAAATAAAAACAATGAAATGAAACGCTTAAAAATTAATTAAATCATAAAAGTGTCAAATTAAAATAATTAAATAATTTTAAAATAAACAATCAAAATAAAATTAAAGACTATATATATAAAAAAAATAATGTATTTGTTTTATCACGCCATTTATTCCTTTTTTTTTTTTTTCCTATTACATTTATTTATTTATTTTATTTCTACAAGAGTTCACATATAATTAATAAAATTCACACTGCGTGTCATTAAACACAAAACATGTAATTCTGGATTATTTTACAGGCTTTCTTCAAGAATACAGATGCAGCTCTTGAAGTCAATGAAATGCACTGTGAAGCTGGTCTGTGTGTGTGTGTGTGTGTGTGTTCACCTGTGTGTCTGTGTTCACCGGTGTGTGTGTGTGTGTGTTCACCTGTGTGTGTGTGTGTGTTCACCGGTGTGTGTGTGTGTGTGTTCACCTGTGTGTGTGTGTGTGTTCACCGGTGTGTGTGTGTGTGTGTGCTCGCTCAGGTGCTTGGAGAATACGCTCACCTCCAAGAGTCTGTGGACCAGCGCGAGGTCATCCGGCTCCTGACGCAGCTGCTGGATCAGAGAAGCGTGAGCTCAGAGACACGGGTCTGGATTCTTTCTGCGCTGACCAAGATCTCTGAGGGCCAGACAGACTTGATTCTGGACCTGGCTGAGGGTCTTTCGTCCTCCCAGGACACGGTGCTCCGTCAGCAGGCCCAGGAGCTGCGGCACCTCAGCCAGGAATCACAGCTCCATGAGTGGGCCCTGCCCCGTGGAGCACCCTGGGACGGCATAGAGGTAGCAGGCCTGATTGTTTCTCCCTATTATGACAAGTTATTTTCATTAAAGCTACACTATGTAACTTTTGGTGCTCTAGCAGGTTAATACACAAAACTCATTATAGCAATTTTGTACATTTTGATCAAAAAAAGTGACATAGTGTACCTTTAAGGATATTTTCACACTAAACAGCCAGATTTAGAGAACTTTAAGTGAACAAAACAGTAAACTGAGCCCATCTAGACATTTGGTGGTGTAACAAATTATACACGATAAGATTTGTTTGAAAGAAGTCTCTTCTGCTCACCAAGGCTGCATTTATTTGATTGTTCGCCGGTGTGTGTGTGTGTGTGTTCACCTGTGTGTCGGTGCCGCTTTGCAGTGTGCTGATGAGCAGCTTGAGGGACTCGACGGTGTTGATGAGGGCGTCTCTCTCTTTGCTCCAGCTCTGAGGAGGAGGTCGATCCGCTTCAGACAGCGGCAGCTCAGACAGCGACAGCACCTGCATGCCCTCCTGATGCACCTCACGCAGCAGGCTCTGTGTGAACACCTCCATCAGCTCCTCATTCGCTCAGTGTGTTCATTATACAGTCAGATATTCTCCGGAAAACTCACCTTGACCCTGTCTGGCAGGACGTCCGGATCCACGTCTCTGTGCGCTCCTTCAGGTGTGCTGCGGGACTCCTGCTGCAGGTGAGGAAGATCGAAACCCACGCGCTGACTCCAGTCTGAACTGCTGTCTGTGACACACACACACACACACACAGACAGACACACACACACAC